AATATTCGAACGGTGGAAGTGGTGTTGTTCTCACATATATACAATAGTGTGCACATTATCAGTTTGAGGTAAATTTATTAGTTCATCGATCAAATACACATACAAATTGGTTTTCAAGAGAATCAGTGAATGCATAAGCAGTATTGCTTTTTGACTGAAGGTCACTTCGGAGTCAAGTTTAGATCTTCCTTGAACCATTAATCACTTTAGAGCGCTCCAAGTGAGATGGCATCGAAAGCAGACTGAAATATTCATTTTGAAATCATTGTTTCGATCCATCTGATGGCCCTATATGCTTAGTATTGTGTGCAATCTACAGGTGTTCCATTGAGTTGCGGAGATTAAAAAAAATCAAAATCGTCTAAAAATTAACTTGAGGATAGTTTCCAATAAATGTTCTAGAGAGATCAAATTTTGAAACCAACTTCCATGGGATGTTGAAACTTCGAAATATCTCGAATGCACATTTTGCATTCGTTGTATTAATTTGCTTTGGTGTACAAATGAGTTATTCCTAACTGAACGAAAGAAATGTACGAACCTTTTCGCGCTGACAAAGCGTAAAGTAGGATGTGGCACATCCTTGTGAATCGCGTTCAGCTACTAAATACTCACAGCTGCAACCCTGATCCTGTTTGGCCACTGCAGACTTTGACTGATCACAGCTGGCATCAGAACGCTCGTGCATTTTCGTGTTTTCGGCTGGATTCAAATGTGGACATGCGTAATACTTCTGAAATATGCTCACTCATATAAATCTAGCTTTCGTTCGAGAAATTACGCCTTCTGCCCAATACTGCTCGTTCCAGTTGCCGCTATTCTCGCAGATAGTGAACTTCGAAAAAACAAAATACAGTGAGATTTCCTTACTGGGCCGATCACTTCAGTATCTGGTTTGGATTCATCTTCCTGACTTTGGACTTTGACCACTGAAACAGAACAATCAATGAATACATGCGAAGAAAGAAAAGTTTGATTTCTACTTTACTGCAGGAATTTCGAATGAAAATTCCTTCTTCATGATAAATTCCTAAAATATAAATCATATAGATCAAATGTTTTGATCAAATGCTTGCGGC